ATTCAGGTCGAAGGGATGAATCCACTACTCAAGGGACTCTTCACCCACGGGTACGCCATCGACCCCGAAATTTCCTTGGCAGAAAAGCGACATCTGCTACAGTGGGACAGTGACATCGCGTACCGGAAAGGATCAACAAAAATCTGGGTACCCAATTACCCTCCTTTGCGCCAGTTACTACTCGAAGAATACCACGACGTCCTGTACGCCGGACACTTCGGTAGCAACAAGACGCTGACCGGTATCGCCAAACACTACTACTGGCCCCATATGGCAGACGACGTCCAGAAATTCGTCACCTCGTGTGATACATGTCAGCGGATGAAGAGCAGCAAGCAGAAAAAGGCGGGACTACTGCAGCCTCTTCCTGTCCCAGAACAACCATGGCAAGTGGTTAGCCTAGATTTCATCACCGGGTTACCACCTACCTCCAGCGGTCATCACGCCATCCTTGTCGTCATTGACAAGTTCTCCAAAATGGGACACTTCATCCCGACACACACGACGGCACGCACCGAGGAGACAGCACAGCTCTTCGTTCGTCACATCATCTCCCAGCATGGCATCCCAACCACACTCATTTCCGACCGAGACCCCAAGTTCACCAGCAGGTTCTGGAAGGAACTTATGTCTCTTCTCGGGACCAAACTCGCCATGTCATCCGCATACCATCCGCAGACAGACGGACAGACCGAGCGCCTCAACCAAATTGTTGAGCAACTCCTCCGAGCAGCCTGCAAGGACGACATCTCCAAATGGGACTTGCACCTGCCCGTACTCGAGTTTGCTTACAACAATGCTACACATGCCGCTACTGGACAGACGCCGTTCTTCCTCTGCTACGGACGCCACCCACTCACACCACAGAAACCGGCAACATCAGCAACAGTCCAACCTGCACACGACTTCATCACAACCATGCATCAACTTTGGGATCGGACCCATAAGCGCCTCCTTGACATTCAACAGCAACAGAAGCACCAGGCCGATCGTCATCGCAACGACCACACCATTTCCGTGGGAGACCAGGTGCTCCTCGACACCCGCAACCTGGACATCAGCCATCTCCCATCTAAACTTCGACCTCGCTTCTGCGGGCCTTTCCTCGTTGAAGCACAGGTCACTCCTATTACCTTCCGCTTACGCCTGCCAGCTACCTGGAAGATTCACAACGCCTTCCACGTCCAACTTCTGAAACCCTATCGGGACCCGAACACAATTTTCGTCGGACGCCAACCGCCGCCGCCACCGCCCGTCCTCGTCCAGAACGAACCCGAGTACGAGGTCGAGTCCGTGCTTGCACATCGTCGTCGTCGGAATGGCACCGTGGAGCTTCTCATCCGTTGGAAGGGTTATGATCCTTCTGAGGACAGCTGGGTACCTGAGTCCGACATGGGTAACGCCCGTCGTCCTCTGCATGACTACCTTGTCAAGCAGGGTGTTACTTCTACCACCCAGCTTTGAGGGGGGGAAGTGTGAGAGTACGACCCCGTTACACCACTTGGCCTTTTCTTATTTCCTTCCCTTTTCATTTCTCGTTTTACCGCATCTCATTTGGTTTCCTATTTTCCATTTTCCATTATCCTTTGGTCTCTTCCTTTATTATAATTATATCACCGACCAGGCATGGAATGTACTAGAGACGTTATCCAGCGTAATCCTGCCGTAATCCCTTAAAGCCAATAGCCTCACGTGGCTATACGCAGGGTGATTCTATCTTCTAGAAGGGTCTATTCCCTTAGGATAAGATAAACCTGGTTACCTGATGTACTCTGGAAGTATAAAAGCGCCTTGTACTGATCGATAGTGGAACCTTTCCTCGACACATTCGATCCTGTGACACTGTAGCTTCTCACTTGCTAGGACCTTGATTGTGTACTCTTTATATTCTTGAATGGCCTTGTGGCACTTGTCTGAGTGGCTAGACTAGTAGTGCGGCCCTGGCTTGCTCTTGTTTAGTTTGTACTCTCCTGACTGGTCTTCAGACCCTTGCCTCAGAGGTTGGACTAGTAGTGCCACCCTGAGCTGTGTGTCTCTTGCCAGGCAATGCCTTATCTAGCCTAGGGGGTGAGTCAAACATATAATGAATATGTCTTATAGGCTAGATAGGTGCGTACTCTTAGAGGGTACAACCACTTAGACAAAACCAATATGTCTGCCACTTTTATAAAAACTACATTGTACTTCTTATTCCATTCAATCTATTACTCTGAAAGGTTATGCATGCAATGCTGGGCCCAAAGAGTAGAGGGAGGGGTAAAACACCCACCCACCCACCATGACCAGTAGTATTATGCGGGTGTAACACTGGTTTTCAAGAGGCATCCATCCACCCACCCATGCTCCGTTGCTCAAATCGCCTTAAGTGATTACGGTAAAAAGTCATGCTCTTAAGTGGCATGGTGGTGGAATGACATCGAGAACACAACTCACATGTGCAGCGGAGCATTGGCAGTTTGTATGGAGGGTAAAGAAAGAGGAAGGCAGCAAAAACACATCCATTTTGCAACTAAAATCTCTATTATTATTTTGCTTGTATGGCTATTTATCCTGTACAGATCATGTGAAGTGTTTGGAGCTCGACACGTCATCAGTATGGAAGATGACAATAATAGCAACTGGGTGAACAATCAATGCACCACACATGGTACGGTACATCTGCATTATGTAACATGCTGGTTGTAACCGCAGCCATCAATCCTTCTTGGCAGCGGTCTTCACACACTTGCAACTAGGCCCCATTTGACACAGCATGACAGCAGAGCGACCTCTGAGTCGACTCGAGAGTCACCACTTTCTAGGCGGTCGTCTTGACGCGCTTGAAGCTAAGCTTTGCCTGACACAGCTGGCCAGCAGGGTCTGGGGCGAAGGGAAGTGCGCAGGAGGGTTTGAAAATAGGGCATGTGCAAGTGGGGCATCAAGAGCAGGGCGTGTGCAAGGAGGGAGTCAAGAGCAGCGCAGTGCAATGGGCAAATCGACTGAAAAGCAGAGTGTGAGGACCAAGCGTTGCAGCAGGCACAGTGATGAGGGCACGGTGACGAGGGCACGGTGATGAGGGCACGGTGATGAGGGCACAGTGATGAGGGCACGGTGATGAGGGCACGGTAATGAGGGCACGGTGATGAGGGCACGGTGATGAGGGCACGGTGATGAGGGCACGGTGATGAGGGCACGGTGATGAGGGCACGGTGATAAGGGCACGGTGATGAGTTCACGGTGATGAGGGCACGGGTGTAGGAAGAATGGAAGGGCGTGCACAGGGGTGCAAGACTGAGACAGCAACCGGGGAGCATGCTCATATGTCTAGGCGATTAGGCATATGGTAACACGTTGATATGCTGATATGCTTATGCGTGCCATGCAGGAATCTCGCCAATGCGTTTACGCTTCAGTGCCCTCTAGGGGACCCGGCTTGTGCATACCTGGAAGGCCTGAGCGTCTCTTGACAAGTGTGAGCTTAGCCTGGGGCAATGCCATGGTGCTGTTGTTGCTGCCGCTGCCAGGAGCATGTTGCTGTGGTACCACGTCAGCTGAACTGGTGTTCCGCTGCTGCTCTGCCATGTCAGTTGCAGAGGTATGGTGCTGCTGGTGGTGCTGCCGGTGCTGCCGGTGCTGCTGGGCCACGTCAGCAGCAGGATATGCGCATAGCTCTTGTGAGATATGAGGAACATAAAAAGAGGATGTAATTCTTGCATAACAATGGATGGAGCTAGTGCTGAATATGCGTGAGATACGATATAGTCCTCCTAGTGAGCCATACACTACCCACGGCATGGTACACAACAACCCATCGCACACTACCCAACACACCATGGACGCTCCACCACCCACGGAATGTGGCAAGTCTTACCGGTTGAGCGTGCCTGGCCGGCTGGAGTCTATCCTTTTCGGCTGTTCCACTGCCACCGACTCCTCTTCCTGCACCGTCTCCTCTCCCTGCTCTATCTCCACCATTGCATGATAGTGATTGGCGGAGTGGATCATTTGAAGCCTGGTGCGTGTAACTGTGCTGCTGCTGCTGCTGCTGTTGCTGTTGCTTATGCTGATGCTGCTGTTGGGGCTGCTGCTGCTGCCTGTGCTGGACTGGTGGTTGCTGCTGCTGCGGGTGCTGCTCATGTGGCTTGCTTTGCGACGCATTGATGTGAGACGACCCGAACACATCCGCACAATGGGCTTCCATGCACGCCACCACCTGACAGCATGAGCAAAACCATGTATGACAGGGCCAGGGACGGCTGGAACTGTGAAAGGGTTTTCCCTGCAATAGATTGCTGTGAGACGACTCGAACACATCCGCACAATGGGCTTCCATGCACATCACCACCTGACGGCATGGCCAGAGTTTGGGTTGAAGGGACATGAATTAGTGTATAACAGATCACTGTGTGATGATCCAAACACATCCGCGAAGTGGGCCTCCATACAAGCGACCACGTAACAGGAGCGAGGCAAGTGTGTAATGTATGGCTCGGCCAGGGGGACGGCTGGAACTGGAACGGGCTAGCCCTGCAACGAATGAAGTGCTGTGCCAAAATCAGAATGACAATAAAATGAAAGACAACACAATATATACGACACCTAGATTGATCCTAGACGTAAGATCGGAAGGTTCGGGAAAAGTGTCGAAGGGCCTCGATGTATCGAAGCGAGGTCCGGAAAGGCCCAGGAGGCTCGAACTGAAAGGTCTGGAACCCTATCGCTGGTTCGGGACTGTTCGAGTCGTACGCCTTGTAGCAAGCCTCAGTAAGGAATTACTAATTCCTTACAATTCCTAACTATTGTGGTTGCAGGTAAGGTTAATACTTTTTAGCGGAAGCCCTTGCAGACAATATCAGCCTGTGATGTCATCGATATTTGCTGACTCGCCCATCGTGCCATCACCAGCACGTGGTTCACTGATGAACACGTGGAGGCGGAGCGGATCGTGAGTCACGCCTGTCGCCTAAGCCGACGTCAACAAACACACCCTAATTTCCACAATTGGTTCTCAATGTCATGCTGGCTCAACACGCGCCAGCCGCCCTAACTACGCGTCGACAACACCGTTGGAGGCTACAGTATCTGAGAGGTCTCAAACATGCTGACCATTGCTGCTGCCACAGGGTCGCCTAGGGTACTAGCAAGAACTTTCGTAGCGTGGTTCCGAGGCTTGCACGCGCTAAATCCTCCGTCCGTGTCAGCCTCGGTACGGAGGAGAGCCAGTGCGGTCCGTCAGACCGCTTCCTTCCTTCCCCCTCCGAGCCGCCGCCTTCGGAGGCTGCTTTGCTTCCCCCCAAGCATCGCCAACCTGCTTCTTGAAGATTCTCTCATCGCCTTGAAGGCTGCTTTGGTTTCCGCAGCCATTATGTCCGTTTGGCTCCTCCACTAGAATTTCTCACTCCACTCGGCATTTCTTTGTTTTGCTTTCTCCCGAGGCTCCGCTCCACCACTACCACTTGCACAACTTGAAGTCCCGGCGTTACCACTACTACGAGCACAGCGCCCCCCAAGATTTGTCTCTCAAGGACTCTTCTCGTGGCCCACCGCAATGCCGCCGCCAAAGCCGGCGAGTGCGGCGATGCAGCGAGCATGGCTTGCACTCGCGGCGCTTTCGTTTGTCATCTTTGTCTCCTCGTGCCACGCACAACCGATCAATGCGTCTCAAGGTAGTACCGCCCTCCCTCCGCACAGCTCTTATCACCGCATCGGAACTGCCAGTTGGTATGGGGCAGAGTCTTTCTAACCGGCGTTCATGATGGATTTCATTCGCTGCTGCCAACCAGAAAGCTGTTAGATTCGTGCGTGCCGCGTAATAGTACTTGTAGTACATGTAAGGGGCAAAACGGGGGTTAACCAGAGCCTCGCACCTCTTGGTTAGCCCTTGAGAATCCGCCCGTGTTATACGTGCATGATGAACGTGTCAACGTGCAAGATTTGGAGCCAGCCTTTAAGAAGGCCACAGCTCGGACACATCATCACATTAACATGCCCTAATTATCCACAGTAGGCCCAGGCACACATCCCAGTACCTTCTGGTTCGTCCCTCTCTCTCCTCTGCCCTTCTGTCAGCTGTGTTTCTCAGCGACTGCCAGAAGGCATGGGGGAAGACAATGGAAGGGTGGACGCTGCGAGCCGACTGCGGCTCCGCAGATGGACTGTTCTGTGACGCTTCAGGCATGATCACTGCGATGTGAGTGTATGCCTTTTCTAGATGGATGAACTGCACGCCATGGCAACAAAGCCGGCTAGCTTCAAAAGTTTGCTGCCTGTTGATCTGCTCCATTCGCTCCCAGTCCTGGCCGAAAACAATGCATACTGTGGCTATCGCTTCCGGAAAGATCGAAAACTCTTCTTCTGATGGCTCGCTTCCTGACAGCATATCCCCTCTCACTGCAATGGCTGTAAGGAGCTCACATGAGATCACACGAGTCCATGTGCTCACACGAGTCCAAGTGCTCACATGAGGCCATGCGCTCACATGAGGCCATGCGCTCACATGAGGCCATGCGCTCACATGAGACCATGCGCTCACATGAGACCATGCATGATGGACGCCATTACTTGGTCCAGGCGGCCTCCTCTCTGCACCATGGTCGCAATGCCGTAAAAGCATGCTGTGTGTTAGCAGAGCTGCATGGCTGGTGTCCATAGCAGCCCCTGGGCTGGTGCTTCTCTTGGCTTGCCTTTGCCTATCAGCACAGTGTGCAGTGGCCGTTGCAGATGGACAGTTAGCATGGGGCTAGTGGGGCGTGGCAGGAGAAGGTTCAACTGCCAAAGCACAGCAGGTTGCCTGGGTGCTTGTGCGTGCCCGGCTGCTCGTGTATGCATGGCTGCCTAGTCGTGTGTGCCTGGCTGCCCGTGTGTGCCTGACCGCTCGTGTGTGCCTGCCTTCTCGTGTGTGCCTGGCTGCACGTGTATGCATGGCTGCTCGCTCGTGTGTGCCTGGCTGCTCGCTTGTGTGTGCATGGCTGCTCGCTCGCTCTGTGGGGTTTGGGGAGACGCTTCGAATGCGGGCTGGGGAAAAAAAGGGTTATCGGGAGAGGGGAAAAGGGGTGCTGATCACCTTAGGTGTGGCTTTATAGTGCATACGAACGGGGTGGGTATTATCCTCGTAACACATGGTTGAGCTAAAAGCTTCACTGTAGTCTACATTTCCGTCGTTACTCTGATTACTAGTCGGAGGGGTAGTGAAGGTTGACATGGATGTTGTAGAGCTTCTAACTAGGCATGAGATAGGTGAGCGAGAGAGATAGCTGCGTGAGGTGTGCTAGGGTTGGGGGATCCTACGTAAATGCTTTACGGCATTCCCTCTGGTGAGTAGAAGTCGTGGGGGGGGGGGGGGGGGATTGGGGGCCGAGGAGAGATGGGATCATGGGATGCGTTTGGAATGATGTTTGGGTTGGGGTTGGACATCGTAATTTTTGCCAGGGTCCGGTGGGGCATTTCACGATGTGCGACCAATCTGGGTCTGGGTCGATTCGAAACATCGCCAGGCTGCCCAGCTTATTCCGGGAGTATTTGCGTATTCCCTTTAAACGATAGCGTATATATGGGGCAACCCCCCAGGAGCATATCTGCCAACATTGCCGCTTGCTCGTGTGTGCATGGCTGCTTGCGTGTGCCTGGCTGCTCGTGTGTGCTTGGGTGCTCGTGAGTGCATGGCTGCCACACAATGTGACGCAGAACTCTAGCACGAGAGGTGCTGAAAGGTCAGCACGAGCAATGCTAGAGACGTAGAGTAAGCTGTGTCGGGCTCTAACTTGCGCTGTCAGTGCTGTGACGCGCAGATAGTGGGGCAGCTAGGACAGCTAGGGCAGCAAGGGCAGCTAGGGCAGCTAGGGCAGCTAGGGCAGCTAGTGCAGGTAGGGCAGCTAGGGCAGGCTAGTGGCAAAGCCGAGCTGCAGCAGCTGGTTAATCTTTTAAACTGTTGCATGCAGCAAACTGTTTGGTAAAATTTCTTGATTGGGATGGCGATAGTGTATCTCAAATACAATGGTGCCATCACACCTATCGGCCAACTTTATTCGTCTTCTGTCCCCTCTCGCTCCTGATAGATGCTGTCCTCTCTCCTCTCTTGATCTCTTGATTTATGCTTCCATCTTCCCCTCTCCTACACTAGTCCTCTCCCCTCTCCCTGTCGTTCAATGCGCGACAACCCGGATAATATGCGTTAGCACTCCACTTGAAGAACTGCTGTACCTATGCACTCTCTTAATTTCACTGTGTTTTTTGTTCGATAGAAGCACACCCACTTACAACGCACTCCCATGATCAATCTTTTGTGAGCAGACATCTGATAAATAGGAAGCTCACCGGGTCCATTCCAGCTGGAATTGGAAGCCTTGCTGCATTGGAGTACCTGTAAGCAGTGTGAGATGGGCTGGCACTGAAAGCACATGGTTGGCTTGAATAAGGTGGCTCTCAAGGAAGCGGAGGGTGCTGCTGCAGTTGTTTGGGGAGCATCATCTCGTTCTCTGCACTGAGCCATCTGTCAATCATATGCTATGCCATCGCAGTAATGCTTGCCCATCATCGTTGTGTCTCTCGGGCTATTCTCGCCCTGGCTCCAAAGCATGCTTGGATGATCCCTGAGAACTCTGTGCACTTGAATGACAGCTACACTTGACCGGTTTTTGAAAATTGCCACTTCTGATTAATATTTTAAATTAATGTCAGTGCAGTGTCTTTTTTATACAAACGCACGACTCGCTTTCCACCATCTGTGACCAACTATTTGAAAAACAATCAGCTTCCCAGGTTCAGCCACACGTAGTCCCACCCACCTTTCTCCCCCTCCTGCCACTGGCTGGAGCTGCTACCGCTTTCTGTTTTCTCTGTGCGCCAAACATTCCTTTCCTCCATGCTCGTCTCACCACCCTCTTGGGTCAGTTGTGTCCCTCCATGTACACTAGTCTCATACCACTTCCTCCAAACCACAACACACAGGGATCTCTCGTACAACTCTTTGACTGGCCCCATTCCCAACAGCATCACCTCGCTGAATCGGCTCTCCTCTTTGTACGAAGCTCACTCAATACATGTGCCAAGGATGTATCCCGATTGCCTATAGCATTGTTGTGTCTGTAGGTATGCATGAGCAAAGGAGTCGAGTTCATTGACTCGAGCAGCATTTGACCCGCCTCGTTGACTGGGCATTCTAGTCTAGTCCGAGTTTCCGCCCCCCGACTTGAATCGAGTTGAGTCGGTCAAGTCATGCACCAAAATAATGATCGTATGCTGAGTTTCGCCAAGTCAGAGAACTGACCCGACAAGTCAAACCCTACTCGTTGGAGTCGGCCACTTGACTCGTCGACGAACTTCGACACATCAGGATAACACGGCCATTGCTAGCTCCCTGGCTGTGCCAGCCAGCCAGTTCTGGTGGACCAGACCCTGAAAAAGGAAGTCAATTAGGCCTGCCCTCCAGCAAACAACTTGAGTCAGACTCGACTCGAGACGAGTCAGCCTGACTCGACCACAGTCAGACCCGACTCTGTCGAGTCTGACTCATGAAGAGTCAAGTCAGACTCGGCTCTACCATGGGCCGGGTCAGAGCCGACTTGAGCCGAGTCCGACTCGACTCGGCTCATGCTCATGCATATTTGTTGTGTAGGGTTCTCCTCACCCCAGTTCCAAGTTATGCCTCCTACACCTTGTAGCAGCCATGTCCTCTGCATGCTTCCACTTCACCTCTTTTCGTTGGTCTGTTGAACAAACCTAACCTGCCAGCGGTACTTGTTTGATCTTCTTGCATCGACGTCCTTCTTCCATGTTTTACTGTAACTTTTGCCCACGTTCCCCCCCTGTGACCAGAAGTTTATGTGATAATCAGCTCACGGGGTCCATTCCAGCTGGATTTGAAAACCTTACTTCTTTGCAGTACTTGTAAGTAAGCAGTGTGAGAAAGGCTGTTGCTGGAAGCGCATGTTCAGCATGAGTAGAGGAGCGTTCTACGAAGAGAAGGGTGCTGCAGTGTTTGCGGAGCATCGCCTCGTTCACTGCAGTTCCGAGTGTCACGTGCCTTTGCAATCACGTTTACCTATCTTCGTTGCGTCTTCAGGGCTCTCTTCACCCCAGCTCGTGGAAGGCTTGCTTGCATGAGCTCTAAGCCGTTGAATGGCACCTACGCCTTGTGGGCGCCATGCACTCTAGATGCTCGCACATTCCACCCTCTGCAAATGTCCGCACCATTCAGCCCTTCTTTCACCTCTAGTCATTCAGTGCTGGATGCAAGCGCACACAACTTGCTCTTCAGGAGACTAACCAAGCAATGGTCATGTCTTATTTCCACTCTTTGTGACCCAGACTTCTCGGGGCTAATCGGCTTACGGGTTCCATTCCAGCTGATTTTGCATATCTCCTTAGCTTGCTCTCACTGTAAGCCGTGTGGTAGCCTGCTGGTGAGGAACCACATTGTTGGAATTGCTGCGAGCTGCTGGGGGGGGTATTGGCAATGTTCTTGCATTGCTGTGCGGAGCGAGAAGCACCTCCCATTCGCTCCCATTCGCCTTCCTTGTGTGCATTCATCCGCGGCGGTCCCCTCCCCGCCTGTTGTCATAAACGCGTTTGGTGAATATACGCTAGCGTTTATACGCTAGAGTATATATGCTAAACGCTTGGACTCGGGCTTTCATACGCTAGGTATACGCTAGCCGGGGCAGGCTAAAATGTTTACCCAGGCAGGAAAAAAAACCCTACACCGACTTTCTGCGTGACTCCTACCTCACCAAAAAGCCTGAAGTATTTGTACACCTAGTGTGTACTATCAGGTTCGTATGTCGTCGACGATGTGGACGCAATAGTCTCGCGCGCCCGCATCACTAAAAGCGGTCGACGTTATCGTAGTGCGCGGCGATAACTTAATTAACAACGCGGCGGGTAGACTATGAGGCGGAGTTGCTAGGAGAATTGCGCTGACTACGCGACGGCATTCCTACTAGGGTTGACGCGAATGACGGAGAGAAGGGGGAGAGTGGAGAGAGGGGGATTTGTAAGTGAAGGTTGGGTTTTCTAGATGTAGGGGATTTGAGTGCGGTGAAGGGAAGGGAAATTGTTGGAACCCACTTCGACCTCCTTGGTTGGGTTTCGCGACTGGGCGAGTGTGTCGATGAATTCGCCATGTCAAGAAATCGCGGAAAAAAAAACTCCCTAATTTTTTGTCGGGCTGCCCCCAAAATTTTACCCGAGCGTATAGCGTATCTGCCTGCATTTAGCGTCTGCGTATACACACTAGCGTATATACGTTAGACGCTTCCCTAGAAAAGCGTTTATGGCAACAAAGCTCCCCGCCTGTCCCTTGTCCATGGTAGCATCATCCCAGCCACCATCTCACCCTTTTTCTCCCTCCTTCCCTCCTTCGGTCCCGCTTAGCCCCACCGTTCTTCCCCTCCTGCCATCGGTTGGAGCTGCTTGTGTGCGCTTGCTGTCCCTCCTGCAACGTTCACGTTTCTCGCCTTTCTTCTTCCGACCCACGCCACTCAGGAATCTCTCGTCCAACTCTTTGTCTGGCTCCATTTCCAACAGCATCTCCCAACTTGCTCTTCTCTCCTCTGCGTACGAAGCTCACTAGAATCGTCTTCTTGCTCGTTACACCATTTCACAGTTCATGACAGTCTCACATTCCCCGCTCGCACATTCCATCTGCTGCAATGCACATCCATAGCCTCTGAGTTCCGTAGCTTGGTGAGGGTAACCAATCAGTCCTTGTATAAGGGCATGTGCAAAGCAAGGGGCCGAACAGGTGGCTTAGCTCACTGAATCGGCTTGTCTAGGGCTGGACCCGAGCCTATTGTCCTGCTGCTCTGTCCCGAAAAGAGCCGGTCATGAGCCGAGGCCGGCTCGTGGGTCGACAGGCTCGGTGCGATACATGTTTCTTAGGACTTTCTTAGCACATCGAAGGCCCTGATGCCTCCTACGACCAGCCCATGAGCTACCTGCATCCTTTGCTTGGGTATATATCCCCCAAGGCCACTATGGCCAATAGAGTTAGGTGAAGGGCTGCCGCTTATAAGAGTCACGGAACGGATTTCAACCGTTGCAGGGTGGAAAAACTTTTGGTGGGACCACTACCAGTATCCTGAGCAAGGTTCAAAATTTCAGTTTCCAAAAAATACGGTCCGTAAATTACGACCATTTTTCCTGGCAGATTGGGGAAGAAACAGCGTAATCTAAATAGAGCATGTGGTTTTTTTTTTTTTTTTTTTTTTCCCGTGGGAGAATGGCTCCTATGCGGTTCCAACGTCAAGTGAATGCTTTATTATGCACCACGGCACCCTATATACGCCGGAAACAGGTCGCGAGGTGTGCGAAGTCACCGAAGTCAATGAAATTTGGAGTTGCTAGGCACTAGAGTTGACGTAGAGGAAGCTTGCTTATTTTCCAGCAACAGGAGTTTGAGTGAAAGGGTTGCGCGTGTGGCAGTCGTAGCAGAGCCGCCAGCCCTGGCTCCATCCTCGCAAAGGACGAGCCTCACCCGCAGCAAGCCGAGCCAGGAGTTATGCATGACCGTCTCAAGGTGGCGCAGGCTTATGCCAATGTCTTGGCCCATTCCACCTAAGATGGGACATCTCACGAATTTGGAAAAGCGATAAGCCGTTTGAAAGAGGCTGCTGCCGAGGATCCACATGGATAGTGCGTTGCTGTGGGAATAACAAGGGCCAGATCTTCGTTGGGGGGTCTTGGCAATGGCATTGCTGTCCGAAGGACCAGAAGCCAGGAAAAACCTTTTTCAGCTCCCACCTCCAATTCACCTTCCGCTTGCCTTTGTGTGCACACACTCGCTTGCCCCTCCTCGTGTTTCCCTTTACAATCTCAGCATCCTCCCAGCATCCTCCACGTCCCTCGTCTCCCTTCTTCCCTCCTGTGGCCCCACTGAGTGACTGAGCCCAACCTTTCCCCCAAACCTGCCATTGGCTGGAGCTGCTTCTATCTGCTCCAAGTCAGCCGCAGAACGTTCTCATCTGTGCGCTGAGAAGTCCTTCCCACATGCTCGCCTCACCACCCGCTTGCTCTCCCTCCTGCCATGCCCACTGTTCTCGTCCACTTTCTCCGACCCACAACACACAGGGATCTTTCGTCCAACTCTTTGACTGGCCCCATTCCCAGCAGCATCTCCTCACTTACTCAGCTTTCTTATATGTAGGAAGATGAACTAAAGTGATGTGCTCGTAGCATTAACTCGCTTGTGATGCTATTTCCCAAGTCATGGTGATTGTGTCTCTAGTGCTCTCCTCTCGCCACTTCCAAAGCATGCTTGGATGAGCTCTAAGCCACTTCACTTACACCCTGTATCAGCCACGTGCTCTGCAGATATCACCTCCCCTAAATGCCAGATCTATGCCTTTCGCCCACCAAAATGCCGATTTGTTTCATCCACGTAGCTCCGGTCACAGCCTGTTGATGGGCCACCTAGCCCGTGAGCTGCGCGCGGCCCGACGTATTTTTCCCTCACAGGCCGCGGGCCGGACCGGCCCATCTGAAGGGGGTTGGGCCAGCCCGTGATGGGCTGGGTTTCTGACAAGGGCAGCCCGAACCATCCCCGCCCGGGCCTACGCTCAACCCCCCTATCTACAGGCTTCACGTATCTAGAAGCTGCCACCTGCTTCGTTTTCATTGTCCTGTTTAATGCTTTTGCTGTTCCTCGTGGATGAGCGATCGCACATCAAGAGGCTAATAGAGCTGCAATCTCGCCCACGTTCCACCCCCTGTGGCCAGAAACTTTGCTGGTAATCAGCTCACGGGGTCCATTCCAGCTGGAATTGCAGCTCCCTTTGCATTGTATTACCTGTAAGCAGTGTGAGACAGGCTGTTGCTGGTAGCGCATGGTCGGCATGAGTAGAGGAGCTTTATACGAAGAGAAGGGTGCTGCAGTGTTTGCGGAGCAACACCTCAGTCTCTGCACGGAGCTGTCTGTGAGGATTTCACATGTGCCATTGCAATCACGCTTGTCCATCTTCGTCGCGACTTCAGGGATCTCTTCACCCCAGTTGCTTAGTTCCAAGTCTTGCTTGCATGAGCTCTGAGCCGTTGAATGGCACATACACCTTGTGGCAGACATGCACTCTAGATGCTCGCACATTCCACCCGCTGCAAATGTTCATCCTTTCATGATTTGCCAATCATTCCTGCTGGAAGGAAGAACACAACTTGCTCTTCAGGAGACTAACCAAGCAATGGTCATGTCTTATTTCCACTCTTTGTGACCCAGACTTCTTGGGGATAATCGGCTTACGGGTTCCATTCCAGCTGATTTTGCATATCTCCTTAGCTTGCTCTCACTGTAAGCCGTGTGTGGTAGACTGCTGGTGAGGAACCACATTGCTGTTCGACTCGACTGGGGTGCTATTGTAGGAATTGCTGCGAGCTGGTTTGGAGGGTATTGGCAATGTTCTAGCATTGCTGTGTGGAGCCAGGAAACAACTGACTCATCTCCCACCTCCCATTCGTCTTCCCTGCGTGCACCCATCCTCTTGCCCCTTCCCGTGATTCCCTTGTCCACCCCAGCATCCTCCCAGCAGACATGGGCAACATGCCGAGCCATGCTCGGCTCGACCCGGCTCGACTTGCCTCTTAAGCGAGTGGAGCCGGGGTTGTTTTTTTGCCGGCTCGCCCCGAGTCGAGCCGAGTCGAGCCGGTCGAGCCGTGTGGCTCGGCTCGGCTCGTCGGAAATTCTTGGGCGAGTCGAAGTCGAGCCGGCTCGATTTCGGCTCGACTGCCGAGTCGCGCGGATCGCCCCCCCCTCCTGGAAATCGAAAAACCATTTCTGGTTTTCGATTTCCAGCAACTCTAAGCGCTGCCTAAGCCCACCATGCTAGCCTAGCATGCCCAAAGCTAAGCCTGCAAACAAATAGCACTGGTTTCGGATTCGTATTCGGTATTCGACAAATATCAAATACAAATTGAATCTGACATCCTGAAGCTATTCGACAGTATTCGACTCTCAAATATTCGCAAGTTCTGAATATTCGACACTCAAATATTCGATATTCGGGAAAACATTCGTATTCGTGTGAGCCTACCATTCATCTCCCCGACTCCCCTTTCCTCTCAAAATCGGCAGCGTGGTATAAGCGAAATCGGTGAAATGTGAAGGTTGCGCAATTGACTAATTGCAGCCTCCATATAACCAATCAATCTTGGACATAAACGAAAACGGTATTTTTGCGCGTGACATGTTCCATAAATTACTTGGCAGAATCACAGCTACTTCGACAATATGCCAGGAGTGGAAGTGATTGGGGAGGGGGGTCATAGACTATCAAGGTTAGAGGGGCTATTTCTATCTCGGTCTTCTGTGGGAAGCCCTAGAAGACACCCGAGACCTGACCACCAATTCGTATTCGATTCCGCATTCGTCGCAAAAAGCGCGGATCTGGCATTTCGACCGCCGAAATGCGCGGATCTTGCGTTTTGACGGCTGACATGCGCTGATCTGGCATTTTGCCAGCCAAAATGCATGGATCTCGCGTTCCGACGGGCGACATGTGCGGATCTGGTATTTCACCCACCGAAATGCGCGGTTCTCGCATTTCGCCCGCCAAAATGTGCGGATCTGTTATGCGCGTGGATCCGCAAAAGAAAAACAAAAAAAGACTTGTCAAACAAAAAAAGGGCGTTTTTTCATAAATTTGTCGATAATTACGGCCGTATTAAAGGTCCCATATAATACGATTACCGTATTTTTGCACCTTGGTGGGAAGCCCTAGAAGACACCCGAAACCTGACCACCAATTCGTATTCGATTCCGCATTCGTCGCAAAACCGAATATTCGAACCGCATTTGTATTCGAATAGGAAGTGGTATTAGAACCGTATTTGTATTTGAATAGGAAGTGGTACTTGATCAAACGAGTGGAACTCCGCCTGCCTAGCTGCAACCATGCTTGGCCATCATCGTTGTGCCTCCGACGCTCAACTCACCTTTTGCTCATGCCTAGTTTTTTCTGCCACGCCCTCCTCGTGTGGCACACCCAACGGAACGTGGCTGCTGGAACCTCGACCGCCAGCCCCGCCTGCCGTCCGCCAGGCAGACCCTCGTCCTGCGCCCCCGGATGGATCCGCGTCCTTCCTGAACGCTGGATCCCCGACGGGGCACGGAAGCCAGGAGAGATCTCCTCCGACGATTATATCCCCCCCGTCTCCGCTGCTTCTGCCCCCTCCTCAACTACAGTTGGGGACGGCGCCAGTCGACGGGGTGGCACGAAGGGCCCATACACCCCCACACCAGACGCCGAACCGGGACGCCACGGAAACCCAACCCACTGATCCGGGGCGAGGGGCAGCGGAGGCTGTTGCCACTCGGGGAGCTTATCACTGGAGGTTGTCGGCGCGTCCAATGGGGGAGGCGCCACGGGAGGGCGCAGCTCGCGATACGCAGGCGGTGGGGGTCCAAGGAGCGCCGACGCCGGCTGGAAGCCCACTGGTGTATGCGCCGGAAACTGCGCCGGCGCATGCGGAGGGGCGAGGAGAGGTGGGAACGGATGATGCGGACACGGATGCAGCGCAACGGGCACGACGCCCCAGCCATCGGCTCGGTCGGAGCGAGCGCCTGAACGCCGCTCAGGATGCCCTCAAGCGTCCGGGCGTTGGTCGCCAGCTGGCGCTCGAGAGCCGCTGTCCGCGCGGCAAGGCCGGCGCAACGGCCACGACGCTGCCCAGCACGCCCGCCGCCCCCAGATGTCCCCCGGGGCTGCGCTGCAGGCGGACCTGGACGGCTGCAGGTGGGGAGCCGGCTGCTGCGGGGAGGAGTGACGCGACGGCTGCTGCAAGGACGGCGGGCGCTCGGTCTGCTGCGGGGGCGGGGCGCGGGACGGCGTCGACGGCGACGAATGGCGCGACGGCTGACACGGGGACGCAGGACGCGACGGCGGACGCGGGGAGGCAGGACGCGATGGACGTCGCGGGGATAAATAGCGCGAGCGCTGCCGGGGGGATGGCGGACGAGTCGGCGGGCGCAGCGACGGCGGTCGAGACAACTGGCGGTGAGGCGACAACGCCGCAGGGTCACCGCTACGCTCTTCGCGCACAGGCCCCGGGGCCCTTCCCCGCTCGTCGCGCCGACCAGGCGTCGCCGGCCTACTTCCCGTGCGGGACCGCATGGGATCTGGCGACTGCCACTGGCTACGGGGCGTGGGGATCCCCTGCTCCCACAGCCGAGCGGAGTGGGCGGACAGGATCCCCAGATCTTGAGGGCGCCTGCTATCCGCTGTGCTCGACAGATCGACGGATCGCTCCCGATGGCCGCGAAACCCCCCCTCGCCCTCCATCGAGCACACTCCGCTGCACTCCAGCGGGTACGGGTACACGTCTCGTGCCGACGTCCCAAACGCCGCGAGGAGGCCGGGGCCGGGGAGGAGGTCAGGGGAGAGGGCGCGGCAGGGGGGGGGGCAGTGAAAGACTTCCAGAGGGCAGCAGGACGGGCTTTAAGGGCCCGAGGGAGGGAGCATACAACTGACGAGGAGAGGAGAGATGCAACTTATAGAGAGGAAACACGTGACGATTCAAGCACAGAGGGATCCGAAGGGGACGATCGAGACGAAGCACTTCGTAGGCAAGAGTCACAACATGCACGAAATGCCCCGGCTTCTAGGGCTGAAAACAGGCCGAACGTGCGGAACCAGCAGGACAGTGCGGAGCAGCCCAGCCAATCCCAGCGACAATTTTCGCCAGCAGAGCTGGCCACCAACGAACAGCTTTTCGCGGGGGTGGCCAGCTGGGATATTGGGCTCCTGTGAGACAGTTCCCAGCCCCCTCTTTCTTGCAGCATCCCCCCCAAACTTCACCAGCTTTTCGCCCTCGTCCTGCTGACACCCCTTCTCCATCTCGCAGCCCAGCCTACCAGCTTGCCAGGCTGGCGCCTGTTACTTTTTGCACCTCGACTGACACTTCGCCTCAACTCGCCGAAGCACCCTTATTGGCCCACCGTGGAGAAAAGGTTGCAGCAGTTCCTGGCAGGCGATTGGCACGAGCTTTACCTGGCAGCGGTGGATGCCATTCACGACCCACCGGCGCCACGTCACATGGGGGACGCCCTCGGCAAAATATCCCGAGCCGAGGGGCTGGTCCGCCGTGGCAGCCTGAGGCGTGCCCTGCTGGCCTTGGATTCAACACCAGTCAGCGAGTCAACCCCTGAGGTCCTCGCGGCGTTGAAATCCAAGCACCCAGCCCCGCTGACTCAGTCTTTCGCGTGACCACACATTTACGAATCGGAGGCCCCCCCCTCCCTCACGCTCATGGATTTCACCAGGTTACTGAGTCACAACGAAAATGGGGTTGGCGCGGGCCCCTCGGGAATGTGCTTCGAGCACATCCGCGATTGCAGCCCTCGCCAAGGGCGCCGTCGCCAGCAAACTCCAGGACCTCATTACTCGACTGATGCGGGGCGACTCTACACCTGATGTAGCAGCACTCCTCACAGCCAGCCGCCTACTCGCTTTTCAAAAACCTGAAGGAGGTACGCGCCCAATAGCCGTGGGCGAATGCCTCCACCGCCTCGCCGCCAAAGCGGGCCTTATCTCGATGGCGGACCGGGCGCGCGACCATTTTCTGCCACTGCAGTTTGGCGTAGCGGTAAAGGCCGGCGGAGAGGCAATAATCCACAGGGCCCGCGCGTTCGCCACCGAACGACCCAACTCGCTCCTGCTGCAGATCGACCTCACCAATGCCTTTAAGAGGGTTGATCGCAGCGCCATCGTCGAGGGCCTTTATAACTCCACCCTCCGTCCTCTCCTACCCTTCGATACCGTATTCGTTTCTGCAGGCTTACCTAAGCCCCATTAATCTCACTCCATAAGTTCAGTCCGACATTCACTAGATTGTTTTAGGTTATTAGGGTTTAGGAAATTACGTTTTTATGGTACACCAGCAATGGCGATTTCTGTTTAGGACCTAGATTTTCTAGGTCCACCAAACACCCACTTTTTGCTTTAGTCAAGAACGTTAACCATCACACACAACACAACCCCTCTGTGGAGTCGAGCCGAGCCATGCTCAAGTCGAGCTGGCCCTTGGCTCGACCCTCAAACCCCGAGTCGAGCCAGCCATTTTCGGGCAGCCGGCTCGGGTCGAGTCGAGCCGGCTCGGCTCGACTTTTACTTGGCTCGTGGTCGAGTCGAGGCGAGCCGAGCCAGGCTCGGCATGCTGCCCATGTCTACCTCCCAGCCACCATCTGCGCCCCTTGTCTCCCACCTTCCCTCGTTCACCCCCACTTAGCCCCACCTTTCTCCTCTGTGCGCTAAGAAATGCTTTACACATGCCCGTCTCACCACCCCCTTTTGTTGCTTCTGTGCGTTTGCTCTCCCTCCTGCCACGCCCACTTCCTCTGACCCACAACACACAGGGATCTTTCGTCCAACTCTTTGAGTGGCTCCATTCCCAATGGGATCACCACGCTTTGGAGTCTGATCTTTCTGTAGGAAGCTCTCTCGAGTCACGTGCTGAACATTGCATCACGATAATATTTTCTCGCTTGTGATGCCATTTCCCAACCCTTGGTCGTTGTGTCTCTAGTGCTCTCCTCGCCGCACTTCCTAAGCATGCTTGGATGAGCTCTGACCAGGTGTATGGTGGACCTTGTTGTAGCGGCATGTGCTTTGCATGCTTAAATATTCTTATAATTCGGCACCTAATCTGTTTTAAATGTCTGGCTGGAAAAATCTGCCAGCTGTGATTCTGTATTATGTATGCTCTGGCTATTCCTCATAAATGCGCAAGAGCCTAACAGAGCTGTAACCTCGCCCACTCTCCACCCCCTGTGACCAGAAACTTAGCTGGTAATCAGCTCACGGGGCCCATTCCAGCTGGAATTGGAAACCTCGCTTCTTTGATGGATCTGTAAGCAATGTGAGGCAGGCTGTGCTTGAATCGTGTGTTTCGCATGAGTAGAGGAGCTTTCTAGGAAGGGAAGGGCGCCAAAGTTGTTTGGGGAGCATCGTCTTGTTCACTTCACCGAGAAGAAGCTCATGAGCTGCTTGTAAGAAGCGCACGTTATCAGCTCACGTTCTAGCATCAGCAGCACAGGGGTGGACAGCATGAACGCCAACAGGCCGAGCCCGACTCGATTGGTCAATGATTCCGAGCTGCTGATCCGGTCGTCACGCGGCTCGACTCGAAACGAGTGGAACTCCGCCTGCCTAGCTGCAATCATGCTTGGCCATCATCGTTATGCCTTCGACGCTCAACTCACCTTTTGCTCATGCCTAGCTTTGTAGAGCAATGAGACACCTTTTTCATCTCCCACCCCCCATTCGCCTTTCTTGTGTGCACCCATCCGCATTCCCCTCCCCGTTTTTCCCTTGTCAACCACAACATCCTCCCAGCCACCAGTCCCGCCATTTTCTCCCTCCTTCCCTCCTTCCCACGACGCTTATGCGTGCTTTCTATCCCTCCTGCAATAATCACTCTTGTGAATTTTATTTTCCGACTCATGCCACACAGGAATCTCTCGTCCAACTCTTTGTCTGGCTCCATTCCCAACACCATCAGCTCGCTCGCTCTTCTGTCCTCTGTGTACGAAGCTCACTAGAATCGTGTTCTTGCTGGTTACACCATTTCGCAATTCGTGGTCACATGTGCATTCACACTCTGCTCGCACATTCCATCCACTTCAACGCGCATCCGCTTTGTAGGTTGCAACCCTGCCAATGTGAGAATGGTTGCAACCTCATGTGTCGTGGCACACAATGCTTGGAGATTGAGTTTCATGGCCGTTGCTTCCATGAAGCCTTAGATGTCATGAGAACATGTTACGCTTGCTCAAAGGGGATTCCATAGCCGAAATCGCCGCCCTTCTCACCGCCAGTCGCCTCATCGCATTCCCCAAGCCCGGAGGCGGTACGCGACCTATCGCCATAGGCGAGTGCCTGCACCGCCTCGTGGCGAAGGCAGGCCTCCTCACCATGACGGCACAGGCGCTAACTCATTTCCTCCCGCTGTAGTCCGGGTTGGCAGTACGCGCGGGTGGCGAGGCCATCATCCACGGAGCCCGCGCATACACATCCGAATTTCCGTCCGCCCTCGTACTCCAGGTCGACGTGTCAAACGCCTTCAACAGCGTTGACAGAGCCGCGATAGTGGCAGGCCTCTTCAACTCGCCCCTCCGGCCGCTACTCCCCTTTGCCAAACTCTCCTACGAAGCGCCGTCGCGACTCTACCTAGACGCGGGATTCTGCAGCGAACCCCTCCTTAGTGCCCGGGGTGTTCGTCAAGGGGACCCCATGGGCCCCCTGCTTTTCGCGGCGGCTTTACACCCGGCACTCCAGGCAACAGCCTCGGCGTTTCCTAGCGTGCTCTGCCTCGCTTACGCCGACGACATCACGCTGCTTGGAGAACCGTCGGAATGCACGTCGGCATTCACACATCTCACGGAGGCCCTACGCCCCTTGGGCCTCGCGCACAACCCTTCCAAGTGCGCGGCGTGGTCAGCTTCCCAGCCCCCTAGCCCCATACTCCCCCCAGGCATCCCCTTCCGCACTGACGGCCTGCGCGTCCTCGGAAGCCACCTCGGCCCCAGTGAAGCCACAGCCGCTTTCCTTCGGGAGCAGCTGGCTGACATGGCCAGGCCGCTCCCTGACCTCGCGACAATGGACCCCCAGGCTGCGGGCCTTCTCCTCCACCGCTGCGTCTCAAGACGCGTGTCCTATCTCACCCGCACCACCCCCCTAGACTCGCTGCCGACCGAGGAAGGGTCCAACTGCGGACAGGAGCTCTTCCATACCCTCCTCCTCTCGTGCAAACTTCAACTCCCACGAGGTGAACAGGAGCGGTCGCGCACGTGGCACCAAGCCTCTCTGCCCCCCACCCTTGGCGGCCTCGGCCTAGCGGACCCCGCAGTGGAGGGCCCGCACGCCTTCCTCACCAGCGTCACACAGGCCCACCGGCTGCTGATATCCCTTCCTTCGGACCCGACAGGCCCACTTGCTGCAGCGGCTTGCTCCCTGGCCCCTCCCTTCATCGGACCCTCGCGTCTCCATACCTGGCTGGCGAAATGCGAGTCGGCCCTCCCAGCACTTCGCCAGCTCGCCTGCAGGCCGAGCGGGCCAAGCCCTCGGACGATCCTCTCCAGCACTGGTTGGCCCTGGAGGTACACGCAGCCCGCTTCGCCCGTCAACTGGCTGCGTCAAGGGAGATGGACCCCAACCCCCTCAGCGGCCACACCCAGCGGCTCCTCTCCCTCACTGGGTACGGCGCCGGCGACTGGCTTCTCGCCATCCCCCTATTCCCATCTCTTCGGCTGGCGCCGCCTCACTATGCCATCGCCCTGGCGTTTCGTATGGGCCTCCCTTTCCCGGCACCCAGGGTCTGTAACTGCGCCCAACAGGTCGCGATCATAGACCCCCGCCTACCAAACCACCTCCTCCGTTGTGGGACGGGACACGGTCGAACCGACACCCACAACGCCCTCCGAGATGAGTGCGTGCGCATGGGGCGAGACGCACAGCTCATAGTCACGAAAGAAACAGCGATCTACAACCCTGTCGACGGCAAGACAACCGACCTGGCCATACGTGACCGGGACTCGGGGGCGGTCTGGATCTGTGACGTCACCGTCACCGACCCAGTCAGCTCCCGGGACCCGCTAGTGCGCAAAGGCCGCGGTTACATGGCCCGAGAGCAAGCGGACAAGAAGATCGACGAATACCGCCACCGGGCAGCATACGTCGGTTTCTTCCCAATCGCCGTCGAGACGTATGGCTGCCCATGCGCCAAAGTGCCAACCTTCCTTAAACTCCTCGCACACACGGCCGCCCGCCGCCTTTTCAATGCCGACCCCAGCTCCTACCAGGCGGCTAAACTGCTCAGCCAGTTCCGCCAGCGCTGGTCCGTCACCCTCCAGCGGGGTCAAGCCCTCACCTACCTCGGGAAGGTGAATGAGGCTTCGCCACTTGAGGGGCCGCCCCTAGGTGCTCCTGAGGCGGGCATGTCCCTTGGGGACTGCTTCGCGGTCATTGAGCACCCAGGGGAATAGCCGGGGAATAGGGGCTAGACCAAGAATACCATGCATGCTTGTACCCACCTTATATGCCTAGCCTGTACCCTCGATCTCCCAGCAATGAAGGACCGTTCGAGAGAGAGACTTACGGCTGCCCTTGCGCCGAAGTGCCAACCTTCCTCAAACTCCTGGTGCACACGGCCGCCCGCCGCCTCTTCAACGCCGACCCCAGCTCCTACCAAGCGGCAATACTGCTAAGTCAGTTTTGCCAGCGGTGGTCCGTCACCCTCCAGCGGGGACAAGCCCTCACCTACACCCCAGTTGGCGACCAGACTGCCGACCTAGCAATCCGAGACCGAGACTCGGGTGCGGTATGGATCTGTGACGTCACCGTCACCGACCCAATCAGCAGCCGCGACCCCCTGGCGCGGAAAGGGAGGGGGTACATGGTGCGGGAGCAGGCAGACAAGAAGACGGACCACTATCGCAATCGCGCACCGTACGTCGGCTTCTTTCCCCTCGCTGTGGAGACCTACGGGTGCCCCTGTGCCGAGGTGCCCGCTTTTTTACAGCTCTTGGCCCACACTGGCGCCCGCCGCCTATTCAATGCGAACCCGACCTCATACCAAGCCGCCAAGCTGCTCAACCAATTTAGGCAGCGGTGGTCGGTCACCCTCCAGCGCGGGAAGGCTCTCTCATACCTCAGCAAGGTGAATGAAACCTCCCCGCTCGAGGGGCCCGCCCTTGGGGCACCGGACGAAGGGATGTCCCTTTGGGACTGTTTCGTCATTTTGGAGCCCATGGGGGATACCCACGTAGGCTAGGCTAGGTGGGGGAAGGAGGGAGGTCTCGGTTGCATACCTGTTCATGACCCTCCCCTTGTTTGCTTAGCTCTGTACTCAGGCTCTCAAAGAATACGAAGGACCGCTTGAGGGAGAAAGAGACCGCACAGGCTGCAACTGAGGGGGAACCGCCCCAACCGGAGCCGGCTGGTAGGGGAGGGACGGCGGAAGAATTTGAGGAGGGAATGGGGGCTGCAACTGGAGGGGGAGCTGCCGGGGAGGGTCCGGCTGCAGGGGCGACGGGAGCAACCCAGCGCCGGCCCGCTCGAGGATTCCCTCCAGCGTCGCGGCAGTACGCGCCAGCCGCCTCTCCAGTGCGCTCCCCCTCCGCCCCCGACGCGCGCCAGCACGCCCCGAGGGGCCGTTCGGCACACGATGCTGTGGCGGCTGGGGCCGAGAAGGTAGCACCGGAGGGGGGCGGGGGCTCACCGCACGGGATACCGCAGGCGGCGACATCACCGCAGGAGGACGTCGACGGATCTCTGCGCCCGCCACCACCGCCCACCCCTCCAGCTGAGGCGGCGTCGACGCACGCATCCGCTGGGGGGACGCTGGCGCGCTCGTGGACGGCACTGGGAGCCCACGCGCCCACCGCTGGTCCGCATGAGGGGGGGAGCTCGACCGACCTCGGGGGGGGACGTTTTCCCCCGAACTCTCACGGTCAACGGAGCGCGACCGGCTCGGTCGGCCATCCGACCCGCCGATGATCCCAGACCTGGCACGGCGAGACAGCGGGGCGAACGCCCGCCTACTCCACGCTCTGCAGCGCGGGGCAGCGGCTCGCGGGGAAGACGCGGCGGCAGGGGGCGCGGGTGCTCACCTAGTCCGATGGCTAACGGTGGACCACTGAATGGCTTCCATATGGCTGTGGGAAGGGCTTTAAGAGAAAACGCAGCCGAAAATAAGAATGCTGCTGAGGAGCGTGCGGATGCCACTTATAGGCAGGAGGCAAGGGAAGAGACTAGCACGGAGGATTCAGCTGAGGATGACGAACGCGATAGACCTGATCGAAGACAAAGGCAGGCAGGGCGGAACCAAAGGGAGCGGCAAGCGCCGCATAGGCAGAATCATGGGGACAGCGAGGCACAACCCAACCAACCTTTGCGCCAATTCTCGCCAGAAGACCTGGCGAACAATGAACCCCTTTTCACGAGGATCGCCAATTGGGACATCGGACTGCTCTGCAACAGTCGCCAGCCCCCCCTTTCCCATCGAATCCCCCACAAACTACGCCAGCTTTTTGCCCTAGCGCTCCTGACACCTCTGCTCCACATTGCAAAAAACCCATCCTGCCTCGCTGGCTGGCGCCTGTTACTCTTCACACCCAGGCTCACCCTTCGCCTCAATTCGCCACGCCACCCGGATTGGCCAGCGATCGAGCGAAGACTGCAGCAGTTTTTGGCCGGCGAATGGGAATCGCTGTACCTCGCAGCAGTTGACGCGATAAACAACCCACCTGTACCACGACACTCCGGCGACACCCTCGGCAAAATATCCTGCGCCGAGGGCCTCATCCGTCGTGGCAGCCTCAGGCGTGCCCTGCTGGCGCTGGACTCAACGCCGGTCAGCGAGTCAACGCCGGAGGTCCTCGCCGCGCTGACCTCCAAACACCCCCCCCTCTGACCGAGTCCCTTGACTGGCCCGCCCTCGACGAGTCCGAGCCCCTCCCCTCCATCTCGCTGGGCGATTTCCTTCGGTTACTCAGCCGCAGCGAAAACGGAGTCGGTGCTGGACCGTTGGGCATGTGTTTCGAACATCTTCACGACGCAGCCCTCGCGAACGCCTCAGCCGCCAGCAATCTGCACGGGGTAGCTCAAATCCTCGTAAAAGGATCCACCACCCCAGAGGTAGCTGGGCTCCTCACAGCTAGCCGCCTGCTAGCGTTCCCGAAGCCCGAGGGAGGCACGCGCCCAATCGCAGTGGGCGAATGCCTCCACCGCCTGGTGGCAAAAGCGGGCCTCGCCGCCATGAACGAGCCCGCCCAAAGCCACTTCCTCCCACTACAGTTCGGGGTGGCGGTAAGGGCTGGCGGCGAGGCAATAATCCATGGTGCGAGAGCCTTCGCCACGGAATTCCCGTCCGCCCTCCTGCTTCAACTCGACCTTTCTAACGCTTTCAACAGCGTCGACCGCGGGGCCATCATCGCGGGACTTTACAATTCCCCGCTCCGCCCCCTCCTCCCCTTTGTGTGCCTATCCTATGGCGCCCCCTCCACTCTCGTCCTGGACGCGGGCTTTGACAGCCAGCCCCTCCTCAGCGCCGTGGCGTCAGGCAAGGGGACCCCATGGGACCCCTGCTCTTCGCCGCAGCCATGCATCCCGCCCTGCGAGAGACCTCCCAAGCGTTCCCCGGCGTCCTCTGCCTGGCATACGCCGACGACATAACCTTGATGGGGGAGCCGGCCGCATGCACAGCTGCATTCGCCCACCTCACCCACGCGCTACTCCCCCTGGGCCTGACCCACAACCCGGCTAAGTGCGCAGCGTGGTCCGCGGCCCACCCCCCCCCCCCCCAACCCCCTCCCCCACGGGATCCCCTTCTGCGCCTCAGGGCTGCGGATCCTGGGCAGCCATATCGGTCCACCAGATGCAGCAGCCAGTTTCCTGCGCGAGCAACCAGCCGCGATGGCCCACTGCCCACCCTGGCAGCAATGGACCCCCAGTCCGCCAGCCTCCTCCTCCACCGCTGCTTCTCTCGTCGAGTCTCCTACCTGACTCGCACGATGCCGCTGAACTTGCTACCAGCACAGGAGTGGTCCCAGTGGGGGCAGCAACTCTACCACACCCTCCTGAGGGCTTGCAACCTCCAGCTCCCACGGGGGGAACAGGAGATGGCGCGCACCTGGCAGCAAGCCTCGCTCCCCCCCTCCCTCGGAGGGCTCGGGCTGACGGACCCCACAGTAGAAGGACCTCATGCCCTCCTTACCAGCGTCGCCCACGCCCAACGGCTCCTGGCCTCCCTCGCCTCGGACCCCTCTGCCCCCCTCGGGACAGTGGCTCGCTCCCTCACACCACCCTACGCCAGCCCTACCCCCCTCCACACCTGGCTAGCCGAGTGCAAAGCGGCACTACCGGCCCCCGCCCTGGAACTCCTGCGCGCCGAGCCCACGGAACCCTCAGATGCACCGCTCCAGCACCGCCTCGCCCTGGAGGTCCATGCTGCCCGGTTCGCCGAGCAGCTGGAGGCGACCAAGAGAGTGGCAGCCAGCACCTGGGTTGCGTGAGCTGGTATGGGCGTGGGGCTGTCAGCACCTGGGTCTAAGCACGAGGAGTGTGAGAGACCAAGAGTGGTGGGCTGCATTGGGGCTCTAGCCCGAATAACTACAGTGACTCCCCTGTGCAGTTGGGTTTCCAATTCGCCGCTGTTACTGTGAGCCTTTATAATTTGGGGCCTTCGTACTTTGTTCTAATTGTTACCTCGTTTAGTAGAAATAAACGCTCCTAGTGTACATGGTGAAGAGCCTCAGTTTGGAGCTTAGCCTTCAAGGAATAATGTAAGTCATGCACCGCATCTTGCCTCAGGGCGTGAGGGTTGTCACGCGTTGTTGGCGTTCTTTTCCTAAAGAGTTACAACTGTGCTCATGCACATGATTAGGCTGCCAGGGTCAGGTCCCTCTATAACGACTCCAAGTTTCGGGTCTCTCTCAACTGTTCGCACGCCTTTATCGCACCCCGCAACCCTGCACATACAACGCCACGGATATAACAGCATAGGATGCCATTTGTTGCTCGAATACGAATAGCTCTCGAATACTTGACTATTCGGAGGAAGAATATTCGTCCCTATCGAGTACTCGTGCGTCCGAATAGTAGCGAAAATAGGCAGCTCTCGTTCTCGATTCGAATTTGCGAATTCGTCGAATATCGAATACTTCGCGAGTATTGATTTTTTCGTTTACACCCTTAAGGGCAGGTAGGGTAGGTACCTCTCTTAAGTGGCATCTTTGTATAAGAAAATCCAGCTGCAACCGAGAAATTAAAGCTCTTGTTTCTAAGTGGGCCCCTTCCAGACTCATTTGCGATTCTGTCGAAGCTTGCCTTCTTATGCAAGCATCGAGTTCTCGGTAAAGCCGTGTCACTCTTTGGCTGTTGCAGTCTCGCTACTCAGCAACTTCTGTGGCGTGGTTTCCTTTGCGGTTTTGTGTGCCCACATTTCTTTATTTCGAACGCGGTGCACTCCATCCATAAGATGCATACGATAGTCTCTAGGCCTTGTCCTTCCTGAATGTTGATTTTTCTGCAGGGGAATTCATGACACGAACCTCAAAGGAACGCTGCCATCTTTTTTGGGTTTTTTAACCTGTCTCAATTCACTGTACGTGATGCACCAGCCACCCACTGCATAGACTTCTGCGTGATGGCCCACGCATGGCATGCAAGTATGCATGGTGAAGGGTGTATAATTTGCTTGCTAGGAATGTGAAACATCTGATGCACATCACATTGAACAAAGGTCCGTGCCAAAAAGCGCTAAGGAACCTCTTGGAGGTAGGGCTGCCTTAGGCTACGATCAAATAGCAGTGAAAAATGAAACCGGTCTAAGATGTTGCATGCCAATGAGAATGGAATATGTGGATAATGCCTGGAATATGTTGCATTCCACCTTTCCCTATCTCGTTTCTACTGCAGCAACATGAGCGGAACAAACCTCACGTGCCCACCTGACTACAACGCATGTGGCCCAACACAGTCGCCTAAGACAGCCTTTTGCCACACGTGTTCTTCCTTTTGCAGCACTTGCGGAAAAGCGCCAGGCAAGCAGATGAAACAGACGTGCACTAGAGCGAATCAAGGTTGTTGCAACAACCTTCCATTGCGCAGCGTATGACACCTATGTGACCACGTACGCATTTCCAGCAGAGAGTATAGTGTATGTATACGCTTGTGTTCATACGCAACCCACTATATACTCGATGGATTGTTTTCCGGGCTGTCCCCAGGAAAATAAAAAATTCCGAGACTGAAATTTGGCGAGTCCTATTGGATTGTCGCGAAATTGTGAATGTCAACATTTTCACCACTTTCCGACTTCCAACCGAATTTCCCTTCCCCCTCCCCCCCCCCCCCCCCCTCTCCTCCCTTTCACTCCCCCCCCACCCCCCACCACACCACCCCCCAGTTGCACTCAACCTGATTGCACGTAGAAAACCCAACCTTCCCCCTTCATTTTCTTTGCCTGAGTGCACCGCCTGTGTGACTGCTTGGCTGAATGCAATCGGTTGTGCTCTTCGTGGTAAGTTCTATGCACTGATCCTCTGCAACTTCCTCACTCAACTTGTGGCTGTAATCCCCACTCCATTGTTTTACACTTTAGCAGTAACAACCACAAACAGCTCCAGAACCACCACCAACAGCAGCAGCAGCAGCAGCAGCAGTGATTTGTCTTCACCAGCAGCATCTGGAGGTGGAGGAGGTGTTTCGGTGGGGGTCATCATCGGCATTGCTGTTGCTGCTGTGGTCATTCTCCTGCTTCTGGGTGCCATGCTGGTATACTTCACGCGCAAGAGGCAGCAGAAGCCAAAAGGTGGGCAGATGAAGAGGCTGCTAAAGTTTTGCTCATTCTGGAGTTTAGACTCTTTTTATGCAGTTCTTTTCACCCCCCTCCCCAATCCCCTTCCCACCGGCAGGTCTGAGTGCCAGTCTAGCTGCTTCACACTGCACCGAGTTCTCTCTGGCTGAAGTCCTCAAAGCCACCAATGACTGGTCGGAAGAGAATCAGCTTGGCTCGGGTGCCTTTGGTGATGTATATAAGGGCGTGCCTCCCCGCGATGGCACCACAACATGGGCTGTGAAGCGAGCCAGATGGATGAATGCCGACTTCCAAAGGGAGGTGGGCATGGGCCACGCATGCTAGGCATGTTGAATAGTAGAACTGTGGGCTTCTGCATTGTCGGGAGTTACAGGTTCCATTCCCTTTAAGAATCCTGATTCCATTTGACTCACAAGTGCTCTTCTCTAGGATGGACCCCTCGCGTCCTACCGACAGATGGCGCTTCGTCTCCAGCTTCCAACTGTATAATTCACTCCTTGTTCCGTTCCTCTGTGCTCCCTTTTTCTCCCTTCAGGTCCAGCAGATGGCCGACAAGAACCATCCCAACATTGTGCGCTTGCTTGGGTTTGCTGTTGGAGGAGACATGCAGACGCGGCCAGAGCAAGTCTTGATCTACGAGTTTGTGCCCAATGGTGACCTCCAGCATTGGATCGATCCAAGTACGTGTGATGCAAAAGCTCCATTTTTTGTCATTTCCTAACATTGTGTGCTTGAAACGTCTCAATAGTGCATGATTTGCTTGGCTTACGCATCAAAGACACTCATGTGGATGTTGCAGAGGCAGCCTACCCTCTTAGTTTCAAGCAGCGGCTGGACATCCTCATTGGTGCTGCATGTGGCGTTGAGTACCTCCACAGCTTTGACATCGTGCATCGCGACATCAAACCCGCCAACATTCTCATTGAAGATGACATGCAGGCAAGCTCAGACAGAAAAAGAAAAAAACATCCTTGTGCCCAAAGATCTGTATGAGAGTCCTTTTTAATATGACATAGTATAAAAGGCTGATTGTTCAACGAAGGAATAAGAAAGGGCTCTGTCACCATGGGCTTTGTGAGAGGGAGCGCAGCACATGGATGATGAATCACTATTGAGGGTGGGGTGTGCTTGGATGATGCAATGCTGAATGGTTGTTTATTACAAACAACTAGTTGAACAATGGAACAATGTCATTCCATTTTGTAGGCCACGTGGTATGCAAAACACCTTATGAACTTCGTCTCAGCTTTCGCCTTGTCATTACCTTTGTCTCTGCTTTTTCTACAACAACCTTACCACCCACCAGCCTAAGATTGCAGACTTCGGGCTAGTGAGGGTGGGAGAGGGAACCACAGTGGGCACTACTCGAGTCATGGGAACACCGGGCTACGTGGATCCAGTCTACTCCAGGACGTCTAAGGCAACCACCACCAGCGATGTCTACAGGTGACCTAAGGGGTTTCTACAATGTTTGCACTGAAGGAAAATGCTAAACGGATTGGTGTTTAGGTTGCTGTGTTGTAAATCTGGTCACATTTCAAAGCTCACTAGTTAAGGATGCCATCATCTTTTCATCTTCATATGCTTTTACTCACGTCAAAACTCAATGTCCTTCTCACATCTGCATTTTTTAAACCTCAACATCCCTCACCCCTGGCAGCTTCGGTGTGCTCATGCTTGTGGTGCTCACCGGACGCCCTGCACTCTTTGATTCCGATGGCGAAAGCAGGGCTATTATACCATGGGTACGTACAATGATCAGGTGAGGGGACACTGGCGAGGGTGCATTTACTACGTGATCATCCCCATTCAGACAAAAAGAGGTAAGGCCTCTCGTGCTCAAACGGTAAGGACGAGTGGCAGCACACACTGGCACTTCAGCACTCTTTTCCCAACCTCCCGCATTTCCTCAGGTGGAAGAGTGCCTCTCCTCCGGCACAGCAGCGAGTCTCAGGGACCCCAAGATGGAGGCCCCTGAAGATGCTGTGCTGCGCGTGGCTCGGCTGGCAGTCAGCTGCACCGTGGAGCGCACTGCGAGCCGCCCGAGCATGGCTCACATTGCCAACGAGCTGCAGGCTGTCAGGGAGGAGGTGGTGGGAAAGGACGAGCTGAGTGCTGCGATTAAGGTGGATGCTGAGGTCCAAGAGATGAAGGATGCTCTTGAAGGTGGGGGAAGTCTTGATGCGCAGCTCGAGTTGATTGGGGATAGCTTTTCCACCGAAAACCCAGTCTGAATTTGTGAAGAGGGGTACTGCAAATAGACTTCACTTGTAGAGTTCACACTGGATTCCATTCCATTGCCAAGTTTTTGGCTCTTGATTGATGTCATGGTTTGAATGTTCATGTGGGTTTGTCAGCAGCTGTCAAACTAGCAAGGAAAAAGTGGACTAGGTAGAAAGTGGGGAGGGGAGATACAAGTAGAGTGTTATGATCCCCTCTGAGAGCTGGTCTAGCTAGGCTGTAGATAACAAACATGTCTACCCTAGCAAGATATATGTATATAGTAATATATGTTTGTTAACACACCCCACAGCCTAGATAGAGGCCGTGTAACGAAACCACGGAAGCACTACTAGTCTGACCACTGAGACAGGAGGCCACAAGGCCAGTCAGCAAGTGAAACAAGGCATGCTGGTAGCACAGCAACTACAAGCACGTATAGTATATACAAGGAGTAGAGCTGCTACTAAGACTAGACCAAGCTGAGTACAGAACCGCTGATGGTCACGATGTGGTAGAGGTAGAGCCTTGGTAAAGATATGAGGGGTGTTGGCCTCTGAGGCCAACTATTCTACACGAGCCTGGCCGCGCAGCCGCCTTCCACGCAAGCATGGACGAGTCGTGTGGGGTGCATAATATTCGTCCGTCACAGGTGGCCGCGTATCGTTGCATGCACAACGTGGCCAAGGGCTTTCACTCCTAAAGAGTACAGGTGGGAAGCAGGTCGATACCCTTGGTAGCTTTTGCAATCTTGTCCCACACGTGTTCTTCTCGTCAGTAAAGCACGCAGCGTGTGCACAGCCATGGGTATTTAACCGTACTCATGCAACTCAAGCCAGACACACAGCGGCCTATTCTGACATACTCTCCCAATTACTTGGGCTCGACAGACACATTGGTGCAAGACACACTGGTGCAAGGCACGCATAGGCCCAATGCCTTTCACCAGTGTGTCTCCCAATCACTAATCACTATCACTTACCGTAATAATTACAGGATGCTTAATGTTGGAGAGAACCACCTCCGATTCCACATTGATTCCCTCGAGGGTGGCGACAGCCTCCGACATGGACACGGGCATGTATCCCATGCGTGTCGTGTTTTGTGTTGGTGTGGGATTTGCGGCCCTCCTCGACGGTCACGTGCGGTCCAGCCATGCAATGAGCTGCGGGTGCTTGATCTTGATGAAATGCGGAAGGTTGCACAGTGCGCACCCCATGACCTCGCCATAGCGTGAATAGAAGGTCCTGGCCAGTCGAGCCAGCTTCCACACTGCTCGATTGTCGTCTACCGCCAGTGGGTCAATGTCCAGGCGAACGACCCGGGGGGAATACTCCGGGGGCCTACCCCATTCGTATACCAGCGGGCAGCGGTCCCGAGTCTGAACGAGGCCGTGCTCATCTCATGCCATCCAAGATCGAGCTTGCATATCAGGATTGTCACCTCCGCCATTGTGCTCGCGAGTGGCTCGAACAAGTTTGCCAAACTCTCGGGGCGGAGGTGATCCATGTGCTGAACCCACGAGTCGGGAATGCAGCCCGTGCGCCAGAAGCTCCTCTGAATTGTTGCTTCGTGCATGAACACCCATGCGTGGTGAATCCAGCGTATCGTGGTAGGGTCATCGATCCCGCGGAAGCGAAGCCCCTCCATCCATCCTGGCTGTCCCTCGTCCTTGGTGATGTGACGCAGCCACCAGATGCGGTACTACGCTTTAGACACAGGCTCGAGGCCATGCAGCATTGGGTTCCCCAAAGAGGGGGCCGCTCTCTTCACATTAACGATGCGCGTGTGCGTGAGGGCTTCGACGTCAAAGCTGCAAAGGGTGTATGCCCCTGAATCCGAAGTCGTCAGGCGGTGTCGCTCATCATCGTTCACCAGGACAATGGTGGGGGTATCCTCAGTGAACTTCGCCATGTTGAAGCCCTCTATGTAGCGAGTGAATAACAGTACGGCAGATGGACACGGAAAGAGAAAAGTGCATATGGGCATGGCACAGGCGGTACATGGAATGTTTGATATACTGGAAAGTACTCACCTCTGGTGTGATGTATCCATCCGAGGTGCACCTCAGATAGCTATGGTCGCGCACCAGAAAATTGTCGGGGAGACTAAGCGGATGGATGTCGTGGACGATTATGAGGGGCTTGCTCTTCATGTGTCCATCAGCGCTGAACATCATGCAGGCGTACGCCTTGTGTGCCCATGGGTTGTTGTCGTTATTGCAGCTGAATTTGGAGTAGTTGTCCCATATGGGCATGAGGTCGAAAACCAAAGTAGTTTCGAGGAACCCCGCATGTCTCGAACAGCTCTCTCAAGTTTGCCATTCTACACCATATCTATGCAAAAATGAGCGGTTGTGTCGTGTTAAACATGCTGAGAAGTGCAAGCTGCCAGGTCCCACAATGGAGAAGCCAATCTGGACGCCACACAATGCGCCCCTCCCAATGACGTCACACTCGAGTGACGTGTGCGTAGGGGTACAGGTCGGAGCAAGTGTATTTGCGACACCATTTGAGGGTATGGGACGAATCCCCTACCAGCGGCGTAGACCCACGTCATTCGTTTGTGGCTGTGTTATCCACTTCGAGCACATGCAGTTTTACATGTCAACGTCAGATGGCGCAACAACCTGCCTGCGTGTTCAAGAAATATCCCTGTCAAGCCACCAGTCAGGCGTCATGTCATAAGTCCGCCTCGCCCAAGTTTGGATTTTCATTGTTCACCCACCCCCCGTCCTGTCCATCGACGCCTATGACGATACCACCTGGCAGTATGGTGACGAGCCACCAACTGCGTATGACGACGCCCGGGCAGGACTGGTGTGGTACACTCGTCTGACTGGCGATGCGCCGCCGCTCTCCACGTATGTCATGTTGCGCGACTACCCGCACGTCGCCATTGTTTTGATGCGGGCTGCGTACTCGCGCTTCGATCGTGCGCGCATGTCCGTCACTCCCGGAATGCTGGAAGACGTGGCTGGGCACCTTGCGCCCCGTGTCGACGGGCCTGCGTACATGCGAGTCGAGGCCGCAGGGAGGTCTCTGACATCCCTATTTGGTCTGCTGGGGAGGTGGGATCTGCCGGTAGTTGTACGCGCCTGTATGAATGCCCTCCACATCGACAGGCTTGAGAGGCCATTCCTTAGGCGCATTGTCAACAACTTTGTGCGCGTAGCGAGCAGGGACTACCGGCGCGTAAACTACGATGTGTCCACGTATGACAACCTAGTCTCTGGCAACGCGACTCCCTCGCAGCCTGACGTCTGGAAATACCTGATGGACTTCGCCCACAGCGAGGGATGGGTGGTAAGTCGCTCTCATGTCTTCACATCTCTAATGCCGCATTTCCGACTGACTCACATGCCCTTTTTTGCATGGCCCGCACACGTCCAGGCTGGTCTATATGACAGGGCGGCATCGCATGACGTTAAAGTCGTCTAAGTTTGCGAGCGCCTGCCAAGGAGCACGGGCGATGTACATGCATATTCAGCCGATGCCGAGGGCGAGGATTGCATGCACGTCAGGAACCTCGCGCATGCGCTAGGCATGTTAGCATGGTGGGAAACTGCTCCCAAAGACATGAAGACTTGGTGTGCATCCGATGGCGAGCACACCTGCCCGTTCCGATGGGAGACCCCCGCAACACGCTTGGCAAGGCCATTGTACAGGCTTGTGCGGCAGGAGTACAAGCCATTTTCGAGTAGCAACTTTGAATATGACACATCTATAAACCCATTGCCGCTTCTGCGACGTACCTTGGATGACGCATTTCACGCATGTACTTCTCTTGTCTATACGCAATCTGGCATCTGGCCCATGGAATATCTGTGCAACAGGTGTTTATCGAGTTTGCTAAGTGTACACCAACTTATGCAGCATATCGAGGGGGCAGATCCGCGATGCCCTTGCTGAAGCGATCTGGGGGGTTCGAGGTGTGCTTATGTGACATGTGGTGGGGTGGTATGTCCGACGTTAATACCCAGCAGGAGCATGCAATCTGCCAATGGCTGCAGCTTCTGGATGGGTTCAATAATGGGACACGTGGCCATGCCGTCGTGGCAGTGGGCGCACCAGACACGATTGGCAGCGCATCATGACTTGCGGAGTTGGCGTGGAAATTTATATGCTTTCTCTGCGCACCAAAATGGGCTTCTCATTCAAGTTCGGCATAGCACTGCCATGATGGGCACATGTATTAGCGCCACGTGGACAATTTTGCCAAAGACGAGGTGTCCATACCGTCTCTCTGGCCCCATCCCACATTGCCATTCGAAACATCTTCGCGAGCCTTTCCGCCATCTCACAACACAACCGTGACTGCCAGAGATATACAAATACCTAAACTACTCACGCCCAGACACTCTTGTAGATCAAGTGCAGCACCTCTTTGTTTTCTCACTAATCTAGTCCACGCCATGACAAGCGCATTGGAAGGTCCCCGAAATCGTGCGATGATCACTATGCTGCGTAAGGAGGAGGCTTGGAAAACCAGCCTTCATCAAGACAATGGGAAAGATACCTCCGTGCACCAGCTGGCGACAGAGTGTAGCAAGCATCCGGCAGACGACGATGAGGCCATCAAGGCGCCACCGGAGTTAGCCACCAAAACGCGCCGCAAATCCAACTGGGGCACGTGCATCAAGACCCCGCCTTCTGACACTGAACCAGAGGACGTGGTTGCGGACATGAAGCAGCAGGGGAGCTTTGCATGGTTCGGAAAAATATCGTTGTACAACACCGCTGGTGTCGGGGTCCACATCTCCGGCCGAGACATGGAGTGCCTGCTCGATGGGGAGAAAACGTCGGAGCCGGTCATCGATTTTCACAACGCGTGAGTTGCCTTGTATATCTATTATTACCCGTGCTCGGCACGGAATTCTTCTCACGCACTTACTATGGAAGAGTTCCCGCGCTGGCATGTGCAGTGTTCTATGCATCCGATACCCGAGGCTGGCCAACGCGAAGACGTGGATGGCACATGATAGCAAGGCTTTCGGCTACGCGGTGGACTTCGCGGGCGTGATATCTGCAGGCACTTGTCCTGACGCGCTCACGGTCGATTATCTCGCTATTCTGGTCTACACGGGGCGAGCACTCACCTCCTGACGGTCTTCGGCTCGACACACATTGGACTATTGCTCGGCATATGGATGTCGTTACGGCCTAATGCCCTCCAATGTGTTTGTGACCCCCACCAAGAAGTGCCCACTTCTCCCTCGTGGTTGTGGTGAACCCTTTAGCGATTGTTTACGGCATCATCGGGGGCGACAAATTAGCCAGTATGGAGCT